CCCCCCCCCGTTTAGGATATGATTTAGAGCCAAGGCCTGGAGAAAGGAGTAACAGAGTGCTATTTCCTGGAAAACTCCCAGGGCTACGTCACAGTAGGGTCCCCCATTTTGGGAGGCTGGGGGCTAAGTCCTCTGGCCCACAGACTCACTAAAGGAACATCTGTCTAGATGCTGTAGTCTTTGTCTGCACATGTGCAAGTCCCTTGTTGGAACAGTAGCTTTTTTGGGTAGTGGGGATTGAACTCAGGACCTTGTGCTTTCAAGGCAGGCGCAGCAACCACTGAGCTAAATGCCCGGCCCTGGAACAGTAGTTTTGTGACACCTGTCCAAGCAAGGGCAGTGCCAGGGAAAGGACAGATTATCCACGGAGAGGGTAGTTGCTCAAACCCCCGGGGTCAGGGAAGGAACTTAATCCCCACCCTGGCTAAGAGAACCTGCAGTCTCTGGAGGCCCCAGGAGGGTGGGATGCTCAAGAGGTGTTTGGGCTTCTGTGACCTCAGGGCTCTGTGCCCAGGTGAGTGGGGGTCACCACACTCTCTTCTGGGTTTGCTCATCCGCTCCGGAGCCTGTGGCACCAGCCCATGCCACGGCCGTCCTCAGCTATCCTGTATGCCCACTCCTACCCCCAAGACGGACCTGGGACATTAGTGTGAGCCTCCTCATGTGGCCCAACCATTGTCCCTGGAGCCAGGAGCCACCCCAGGGACTGGCACCCTGTCCAAATGGACAATGTCCTCCAATTAAGATTAACCTTGAGACCAGAACCTTTTGTCAGCTGCCCTTGACTTTCCTCTCTGAGGCCACGGGAGTAAGGATATTTGAGAAAAGAAAGGGAGTGAAAGGAAACAGCCAAAAATCAAAATGAAACTGACCAGCATGTATACGTCCACTGCTGTGACCTAAATTCTGGGAGGGGCGGCTCTCCCCTCCTGGCTGAGGCTTCTGGGGACAATCTGGAGGCCTGGAGAGGAACCTGCCAGCCCCTCCATCCCAAGTCCCTAAATCCAGCCAGCGCCCCTGCCAGCTCTGCAGCGCCCCGTCTGAGGGCCTCAATCCTGCACCCCGCGATTAGCAGACGGAAGGGGTCTGCAAATTGAATCCTCACCGTGCGACCAGCAGCCCGGGGAAAGGCTGAGCAGCCCCCTTCCACCACCAGCTCTTGGTCACCACCTGCCTGTAGCTCGAGGTAACGCCCTCCCGGAGGGTGGGTGGGACAGTTTTGGGGGCGGTGTGGGTGTGGAACTCCCAACCCGGCCTAGATGGGAGTGGACACACAGAGTGGTCCTCTCGGAGGCAAGGGCCGTGGGAAGTGGAGCGCCAGGGCTGAGAGGTCTGTCCAAGTGAGGGCAGTGCGCGCCCGGGACAGGACGGATTCTCTGGGGAGCGAGAAATAGAAATAGCTCTTCCGCACGGCGGGGATTCAGATGGGGGAGGGGACCTGGGAAAGGGGGAGGGGCCAGTAGGAGGGTGGGAGAGGGGAGGGTCTCAGAGGAGGAGCAAGGACTTGGGGAGAAGAAGGCTCAGGACCCCGTGGCGCCCAAGGGAGCCCCTGTCTTTTGACTCCAGTTCCTGACTGCGTCTCCCACCGATGTCCACGTCCAGCTCCCCCTAATGTGCCCGCGGGGGGAAGGCAGGAGACGACCTTGGTCCCTTCCCAGCTCAGTACCCAACTAAACATCCCCGTGGTTAGCCCCTCTCTGGCCTTCAGTTGGCCAAGCTCGAGGGTGGCTCAAGCCTGTAGGCCCCCCTCACCTTGCGTCTAGGGCCAGGTGGGCACAAACAACCGAGCCCTCCTGGCGACTCCCCTGTGAGCGGCGGGCGCAGGGGAGGAGGAAGCGACCCGGCCCCTCCGGCGACCCACCCTCCTGCTCGGCGCGGGAACCCTCCGCAAAGCGAAGCGTACGTACATCGGGCGGGCTGTGCGCCAGGCCCGGGCGGCCCCTGTGCGCTCCGCTCCACTGCCTGCTGCCGCCGTTCTGCTGGGGAGACCCCCATCCGCTGCCGCCCGACGGGGAAGGCGACCGGCTCCCGCTGGACCGCTGGCTGCCCGTCTTCCGCCCATCGTCTCGGCGCTTGGGGCTCAGCCTGGGCGGGGGGGGGCGGTGCGGAAGGATGGGGGAGTCGGCGACAGCCCCCCAACCACCGTCCCTTCACTGCCTCGACTTCCTATGCAGGATCTGCGGCGCCTGGGGGAGCTCTTCCTCCAGGTGGGCACCAACACGCCATCAGCCCCACTCCCCAGCCCCTGGGGTGCTTAATCTGCAACCCCCCTCAAAAAGTAAAAAGGGCTGACCGGAAGCACAGCTTTAGCTGTCTCTGGGCCCAGCCTACCTGCTGGGTGATCCGGAGTCACTGTAGTGGGAGGACAGCGAGGGGCTGTGGGAACTGCCGCTGCTGTGCCGGTGGGACCTCTGGCCTGGGGACTCTGTGTGAGGCCTGGTGTAGGGAAGGGAATTAGCCTGTACCTAAGTTCTGCCCACCTTGGCCCCTGAGGTTACCTGACCTGCCACAGGGGTCCCATGAAGGCCTGATGGAGGTCACTTCCGCCCCCAACCCCCCCAGTTTCCTACAAAATGACCCTGAACGGGGCTGGTGCTGGGTGCAGAGCCCAGCTGCACCTAGCTCCCTACAGGTCATCTGTGAAAGTCAGGAGAACAAGCCTTTAGCTGTTTTCTCCATAGCCCAACTTCCGAAGACCTCATTGCCTAGTGCTCTCATGACTGTGATGAGGGGGCAGGAGAGTCACTAGGACTTGGCCGGAAATGACCTCAGGCCAGGAGGCGAGGGGCCTGGGTTCCAGTTTCAGCTCTGCCGCCAGCTTCCGGAGGGTTCCGGACTTCCTCTTAGGGTCTTAATTTTTCCATCTGGGCCAGGTGGACACAAGTGACCTATCTTTGAGGGTCAGATTCTGGGGTGCTAAAAGGCTGGGTTTGCTGTTGGAGGATTCGGGAAGGATGCTCACCTCTTCCTCTCTTTGTTCTTCTCTTTTCTTTTGCTCTTGGGGCTTCGAGATCTGCAGGAAGCAGAGACCACGGTAATGGTAGAGCCTGAGCAGAGCAGGGGTGGACGTGGCTTGGAGTCCTGGAGCCGAGCTGTGCCCAGGGGTGGACTTAGCTTTGTTCCTTTCTTAGGCCTGAGCCTCCTGGCTGCCAGGGACTGGCCCATCTCACCCGGTAGGGTGTGGTCAGGACCCAGAAGGAAGGGGAGAGGCGATTTTTTGCAGATCCAGCACCCTCACACCTCGCCTCCTCTGGCCAGCTAGAAAGGGAGGTTTGGGACAGGCTTCCTGATGAGCTCCTGTGGGAGCTCCACCCCTCATTCAGTCCCTGTGTCTCATCTCCTTAGCCTGTGACTCATCCTGGGCCACTTCATCAGAGCTTTGGGAAAGAAACACCTTTCTTCGGGCTGGTCTCCTGTTTCTGAGTGTCTCTTCTAGAAGGATCCATATTTGGGGGGGTTGTCCCCAAAGCTGCCCACCCCATCCCATACAGCTCTCTTGGGCAGGCTGTGCAGCCCAGCACCTTGTGCCTTTGACAGAAAGATCAAAATGCTTCTGATAGGCATGAAAGGTCTCCCTCTCCCCCAGTACCTCCCTGATGCCACCTCTCAGCCCCATCCTCCCTGGTGCCACCAGATCCCTTCTAGTCTTTCTGACCCCAAAACAAAGCAATGCAAAGAAACTGAGACGTGCTTCCCACAGGAGCAGAGTGAATGAGGGGCAGGCCTGGGAGGCCAAAGGAACTCGTGTTGTCCTCTTTGTGCCTCAATTTCCCCAGGGACTTTGTGTGGCACCAGCCACTTCTAGGTCCTCTCCAGGACTCAGGGATGTCTCATGCATGTAGGCCAGAGGGTCTGTGCAACCTCATGGTGACCACTGGGTGGCAGTATGGAGCCACACGGAGGAATAGGCAGGGAGAATGGTGAGAAATTGGGGGAAATTGGAGGGGCAGGCTTGGATGTTTATTTAGGCTCCTCCCCTAACTGGCAAATGGTCTGTGGCAAATTCCCACGGCAGGGAAGGCAGTGGGGACTCTGCCCCTCCTCGGGGCTGCTAGGAGGGGGCCTGGGGATGTCACAACTTCTGTACCGTCATTCCGAGTTTCACAGAACCCCCCTGCTTCTCTTTGGCCACCTTGGCCTCTGCCAGGCCTCTCCCCTCCGCGTCTCCCATCCCCTAGTCTACCCTGAATAAGTCGTTCTGGTTAGAGCCCCACCTGGGTGGAGGTTGGGAGGCTGGTTTCCTAGCTGGGCAGTCAGGCCTGACAGAGGTTAGCACCGGCCCACACCCCAGAAACTCTACCTCTACCCCAACCTGCTTTCCCTTTTACCAACGGATCCCCCAACTCACGAGCCCCTTCTGGCTGCCATGCCTCTTCCCTGCAAATTTGGGGCCCTGATGGCACCTCCACAAACACTGTCCTCCTAGACACGTGGTGTCCTTGGGGCCCCCACATCAGGGCAGACTTCTAGGGCAAGCAAGGGTTGGAGCCATTGGTCTGCATGCTCCTCCCCTCTCCCTTCTGGGCTCAGTCCCTGGAGTTGGAGGACAGAGCTGGGCCAGACTCTCAAACAGCCCTTCCTGTTACTGCTTCCTGTGGGCTTTGGTCCCTGAAGGGAACCTAGCTTCTGTCCACCTGCTCTGCAGGGCACTGCTCACCTGTGCCGTCTCTTCCTCCGGGACCCAGAATTGGACCTGTAAGGTGACAAAGGAGCTCTCATGAGCTTGCCTGGGTAGCCCTGGGGACATGGGTGGACCCAGTGAGTCCTGGCCCATGGGAGGGAGAAGCAGCCACAGGGAGAGAGGGCCCAGTGGGTACCTGTTTCGGCGGTGCTTCTTCATGCTCTTTTTCTTCTTGCGCAGAGGTGAGGCGCTCCCACAGCTGCAGACACAGGAGGAAGCAGCTCTAGTGAGCTGGGGTTTGGGGGTGCAGCTGGGAACAGCTGGAGAACCCTGAGGGCCTGCGGTATGGAAGCTGAGAAGAGGATTCAGGGCATGGAGCCCAGAGTGACCTGCGGCTCAAGGATGGGATACCAAAGGCCACAAGGGGAGTTGATGGCCTTGCCTGTGTTGTCCCTTCGCCAGCTTCCAAGTTTGCTGGCGAAATCAAGGATCGTTCAAACCCAGAGGTTAGAGGCTCCAATGATGGGATTTCTGGCCTCAGAGGGTAAAAGCTGATCAACTGGGGGTTTCAAAGTTCAGGCCCTGAGGTGCCAGGCCTCCTGCTTCTAGGAGATGGCCTTGGAGTGTCTCCCACCCAGAGACCCCCCGGACCCCGCACACCCCTGTACCTTCATCACTGACCTGCACTCTGACTCTAGTCTCCTCTTTTTGCTGACGGTGAATGCCAGGGAGGAAGAAGGACAGATAGTTGGGCAGAATTAGTTGGGGCCCTGGGGTCTCACTCAAGACAGGGGAGGGGAACACAGGGATGAGACAGAGTCTTACAGATGAGACCCTTCAAAGCCCCTCTAGGGGGCACTCACACTTGTGATAGTGAGTGCAGAAACCCTGGTGTGGTAACGAAGGGGTCGCTCAGGGCGTCCAGTTCTGGGGCTCCATGAGGGGAGGGGCCTTGGTAAAGAGGAGGGGCTTGCCGAGGGGCGGGACTTCCGGAAGGGAGGAGCTGAGGGGGGAGGGCACTAAATTGAGGGGCGGGGAATCAAGGGGAAGGGCCGAGACGGGGGCGGGGCTCATACGTGCAGCTTCCGTGCTGCCCCCTGCCGGGCGAGGACCAGCACGCCAGGGACCTCTCCTCTCGGGCCTCTCCCACCCGCTCCGGCCCTGCGTCCTCTCACCGGCTTCTCCGGTGGCCGCCTTTCTTTTTCTTCTTCTTCTTGGGAGGGGGCGACGCCGAGCTGCTGGACCAGTGCTTGGTCCTGGGCGAGAAGAGGCGCGGACGGTGAGGGGGCTGCCCCGCGCTCGCGTCCCCACCGCCGCGGCGGCGCTCACCTGTATTCCCGGTGCCCGCGGTAGCAGGCGGCCGGGCAGTCACAGTCCACCGGGCCGTCGTCGTCGTCGTCGTCAAAGGCGTACTCCAGGCCCGGCTCGGCGCCCTCGGTCGGCCGCGGGGTCTCCGCCACGCTGCCGGCGACAGGGACGCTGACCACCCGCCTCGGCCTGGCCCTGGGGTCCTCGCTCGGGGCGGGGCTGGGGTCGCAGCGCCCGTGGAGGGGGCGGTCTGCGGCCCCAGCCCTGGAGACTTGGGGAACCCCAGGGGGTGCTGGTAACACAAGTCCCCGGCCTCGGGGACAGCGTTTTGCGGAATGGCGGGAGGAGGGTTCAGCGGCCTACTCTGCCCTCACCCTTTGCTACTTCTCCCCTCTCAGGGACCCCTCCCTCTGGCGAGCACCCTGCCTTACTGAGTGCCCTCCATCTCCGCGCCCACTCATGGCACCCCTCCCCTCACTGGGCCCCTTGTGTCCCTTAACCCCAAGTTCCCACCCGATCCCCTCCGGATCCCTTCCCCACCCCAGTTTGGCCCTCCCGCCTCTGTGCGCCACCCCTCCCCCTTTCCTCCAGCCCCGGCCTCAGCCTCTGAAATATTCATAGCCTCCCCTCACCCTCCTCCCCTCCGCAGCCGCCCGAGGCCTGTCTTATCTCGCTGCCTGCCGGGCTGTCCTCATCAATCACGGCCACGCGCAGGGTGCGGGCCTCAGCACTGCGGCCTCCCTGCTCCCGGTCCATCTGCACAAGTCCGGGCTTCGCCCAGCGGGGACCGGCCGCCTTCCGTCCCTGCTCCGGCCTTGGAGCCCCAGCCATTCTCTGGCACAGAGGTTTGTCCCCGCAGACCCTTCTCAGAGGGTTGGTTGATTTTATTTCTTATTTTTACTTTTCCCCCTAGCAGCAACTCCCCTAAGGCAAGAGCCCGGGCTTTGAAGCCTCAGACCAATCTTCATCAGGCGCTGTCCTCGAGTGAGCCCGCGCTAAGTGATCTGGGGCTGCCACACCTCTCTCTGACCTCTCCTCCCAAATGAGTGATAACAGTTACAGGACGCCTGGGAAAATTTGATAAGGTAGTGGCTGCTGAGCAGCTTGTGCACGCGTGCGCCTGTGTGTGTTTTACTGGGAACTGAACCCAGGGTCTCCTCGCTGAGCTACATCCCCAGCCTTTTTTAAATTTTTGAGGCAGAGTCTCAATAAGTGGTCAAGCACAGGCTGGGCTTGAACTTGGGATCCTTCTGTCTCTGCCTCCTAGAGTGCTGGGATTACAGGCCTGACAAAACTTCAGTCGTTTTCTTCTTCTTCTTTTTTTTTTAATTGAACAAGCCTAGAAGTGGCCTTCCAAGGCTCGGCTCCAGTGACTGGCTCCAGGATGTGAGTCTTCACCTCCATTTGTCTTACTCTGACAGTGCTCCTCCCACAAAGAGCCTCAGCCCTGCTCTCAGCAGACTTCCCTCACTCTGGGGTGCCTTCCCTGTATGGAGCAGAGCATTAAGGGCATGAGCTTTGGGTTCACACAGGTTCGAATCCAGGCAGGGCCACGTGTCCAAGCCTCAAGGCCCTTATCTCTACAGGGAGGAAAACAATATCCCGGCTTTGAGCAGGGGATTAAGTGAGATTCTCTCTGTGAAGCAAGCCCTGACACAGCCTCAGCCCATGACTGTTGTCCTAAACCCCGCATCTGTTATCAGGCAGGGGGTCTCTTTCAGGGAGAAAAGAGGCTTTGGCACATAAAACAGAGACGGGAAAGGGAGGCAGGCCACAGCTGCAGAGGGCAAGAAGAATGTAAGGGACAAATCTCCAGCAGGGAACACACTAGTTAACAATTTGGAGACTGATTTTGTATTTGAGAGAGAAAGAGAGAGAAAGTCAAGTGCACAAGTGTCGTGGTGCACTTCAGTAATCCCAGTACTGTAGGAGGCTGAGGCAGAAGGATTGCAAATTCAAGCCCAGCCTGGGCAATTTAGTGAGAGAGAGAGAGAGAGAGAGAGAGAGAGAGATCATTCAAACATGATATGACACGGGTCAGAAGCCTTGAGGCCAGTCTCAAGAGTGTCATCCATTTCCCAGCACCAAGGTGGGCCTGAGAGCCTTGCAGTCACAGAGTAGCAGGGAGGTTTCTCTGGGGTGACAGGAGGAGAGACTGATGTCATCTTTGGGCCCCACAGAGCCAGACACCCCCACATCCCTTCATTCAAACCTCTGCCTTTCCCCACATTTCTCTTCCCGAGCTGGTGGCCTCCTACCTCCTGTCCTTGTCCTTGAATCTCCAATAGGCTCTGCCTGTTCAGCACTCCCTGCCCCCCATCCTCTACACAGCTCCTCAGCAGCACAAATGCCTGACACATAAAATATAGTCTTTCCCCAAACAGAAGGGCACCTCAGATAGCATGTGGGTGAGCCGGTGGGAGGAGGGTGCCTCAACTTATCCTGGCATGGAAATAATGAAGGTTCCTTACTAAATGAAGAGCTCCATTTGGGTGGTGCTGTACAGGACCCGGGTGAGCCACTGAAAGCAGACACTTGCTGAAACCCCTTCTCTTGGAGCCCTCCTTCCCTGCTCCTCCGTCCCTTCTCTGTCCCCTCCTTAATCTGCTGGTCACACCCCCCAGACACATCTTTCTTTTCTGT